CGTGACTAAAATCACTTCTTCAGAATTACCTGCTTTATCATCAATGCAGTTGACCCAAGACTTTCGACCATAAGCAAGGGGGTTAGCCACATCTGAGTGAAAACAAGACCTACTCCAACTAGTTGAATCCTTCTTTTCTTAGAACAATAGCAAAATATAGATCCAGCAGCCTCCAGTCTTAGAATCCATCAGTGGCTGTTATTGATGGGTTTCACTCAGTGGCACCTAACAGCTTCAGTTTCATGTTTCCAGCTGTCAGCTCACTGTCTGCACTTGAATAGTCCTCAGCCAACCCAGCTGCACATGGCCAAAGCTAACCCACTTTCCCCTCACCCAGCTCTGTCCCTGTCCCCACTGCTCACTGAGCTGCACCCCAAGGGTCTCTTAGGATTCTTCAGTGGGGTGAGGCCTGCTTCCAGCCTCTGCTCTTGAATCTTCCCAGTATGGAGCTTGTCCTCCCACCCCCATCCCCATTTCTCTGATTCCCTGTATCTTATCTTCTCCATGTCTGCTGCTGCTTACTTAATGATCCCCCCTTAACCTTTCATCTCTCCATTATGCCCTGCCCAGCCACAGCCTTTGAAACCTACACAGTTGTGTGTGTGCTACATTTTGTGTCTGCCCCACCTCTGGGCTCTAAGCAAGGGATGGCACATGTATTTTGTGTATTTTGACCACTGCCTAAGCCAAGCACAGAGGCTGCACGTAGTAGGTTGTTCTGATGGACCGCTGTCCCCATCCAGGTGTTGTTATGTTTCTATCAAGTAAAAGATGGGCCCAGCCTGGGATACCTCTGGATCTCTGTGTCATCCTTTTGTTTTACTCCCCACTCCATCCATAATCAAGAACTTGTTCTGTTCGCGACCCAGTTACCATAAGGGTATTTCATTTCCTCTCTGATTTCCCTGAAATAACAGATTGTGACTTGTAATTCATTTAGCATACATTGAAACCTGAATATCTACTGATTATGTTTCCAAGCTCCACGCTTGTTACAATAAAGACAGAGAAAAGATGTCATCTCTCGAGGAAAGCCTGGAAAATTACTATTTCTGGCAGAAAATTTGTTTTGTCTCATAGACTTGAGCTTCAGAGTCATTCATAAATGAGTAATGAACTCAGGAAAGATCAATGAAGCCTTCTCTTAACCCTCTCAGCTGATTTCACTGAGAACTGAGTAACGGGGAAGTTACATGGGAGAGATGATGAGGGACTTAGAAAAAGAAATGGTGGCCATAACATGCAACTCTTGAGATCAGGTGGTTCATCCGGTTTATAGGGAGTACTTTCTCAGGCTTCAACCTTGGGTCATTTTTTTCTTGGCTATTTAGTTCCAGTGTTTATTTCTTTTATTATTTTTGAGCAGTAAAATAAAATAGCATTCTAAAGACAATTTTTTTTTAAAGAGAGAAGGCAGAAAAATATCTTGGTGGTCTTTCCATGGCACCTGACATACAATTCTAATCAAATGCCCTAAGATTTTTTTTATTAAAGGAATTATATGAAAATGTTTAACGTATTCTCATCTACTTTCTTAGTAGATGGCCTATTGTCCTCTGTAAAGTTTTAACGACGTAGAATAACTGCACATTAAATACCACAGTCAAAATCAGGTCTTAAACGAAAAGCAGTGTTGAGTGTGTGGTGAGACATTGTGTGGTCAGATTGGGAAAGTGAACCATCAGAATGATTTTGCTGGTGGCCAGGGGTGGGGGGTAGGTCTCTGAGCCACCATGGAGCTCCTGGTTCCAGCATCACGTGAACAAAGAAAAGCAGCCCTGGGTCCACATTCAAAGGCCTCTCCTATTAGCCACGTCGGCAACATCAGTGCTGCAGAGTTGTTCTGGGCAGCCACTGCACCATCTCCTGAGGTACATCACTCTGAGGCCCCACCCATGGTGGTTGGGCTGCAGAGATTCTTGGGTTTTGTCTATTTGTTTTGCTTTTGCCTTTTAAGTCATTTTCTCAACGATTCCACATCATACGCACAGTTTCCCTATCATAAAAGTCAGCAGGAAAAATATTTGAAGGCAGCAAAAAGTCAATAGACTCAGCCAGCCCTTCTCTATTTCCATGGTCAGGGGAAAACTCAGATGCCTTGCTGAAGGTTTTTATTGAACTTTTAGTGGAATCTCTTAAGATTTATTTTAAGGCAGGAAGAGCCCGCCTCCCGTGCCTTCTGCTAAGATAATGTTAAGAGGCTATGCTAACAATATGCCGCACCTTCCTTTGGGGGCCTTCTCTTTACTTCTGGGGTAGTTGACCAGAGTCACAACCAGAAAGTAGAAGTTCTTTTCAAGTATCACTACCAACCAGAAAGTTGAAGTTCTTTTCAAGTATCACTACTGTAAACAATGACAGCCACTTGTCACCTGCTGGGTGCATGCAGTGAGCACAGTTCTGAGCTGGTTCTGTGAGAGACACAGGTGCTCAGAGGGAGCCCTGAACCACCGGTTCAGGCTTCTCTTCCCTTTCCCTCTGCCCCAGGTATCTTCATGTACATCTGAAGATCACTACTTTCCCTCTTCAACTAATCTTGTGACACTGGAGACTGAACTCACCAGGAATTAGAGAACAGAGACAGGGACTAGGAATGCCTCTGTCACCCACAATCACCTGGACGTTGGCTGAGTGGCTCCTTCTATGTCCCATCCAGAGTGGGGGAAGGGCAGTTTGGAGACTAAGACATAGGTAGAGGACCACACTCAAGGCCCATAATAAATGAATGGTGAAACCTGTCCCATATATACTCCTAATCCCATATCCCACATTTGACCTGAAACAGCAGAGGCCCCATTCAGTCCATGGGTCCCAGGTTGAGAACCACTACTAGAGGCTTTAGGATTTAGCCCTGTACTGCTGATATGTCTCCTCTCTTGATTATAACCCTCCTTGTCTTAAAAAGGCTATTCAGATGTCCATGAAATGATGCCCTGCTCATGGTTCCACTGTTTGGGGAGCTGCAGGTCCCCCTTCCCCACTGTGTTACTGCTCCTCCTGCCCTACCCTGCCCCTGCTCCACCTTAATCTTTCTACTTTCATATTCTCTCAAATCACTGCTGGCTTTCTGCCAGGGATTGAGCGTTTTTAGGACAATGATTCCTCCAACTTTTATTTAGTCTTTGTGGAGCCCAAGACAATGCTGTCCATATGGTCGGAGTTCAGCAAATGCTAAACTAGGTGACCAATCCAATGACATGAGACTATCACCAAGAATGTATTTGACTCTGCAACAGGGATATAGGTTCACTTGCATCATTTTGTAATTTCAGGATCCTGTCTGCAAGGTGTGATCAAAACCTATAGTAGATGTTTAAATCTTTTTAAATGTTAATACATTAAAAATGCATTGCCATTACCTTACTTCAGATTCCTTCCCCTCACTTTGAACACACCTATCCCTTCCTTCTTGCACTTCCCAAAGCAGTTCTGGAATCCTCTTTCGTGAGTATCTGTAGTTGTGTTGTCATGGCTTCCTCTGTGACCTAAATCAATTCAAAACATTTACTTTCATGGTCATTTTGAACTTGGGGAAGAGCCAGAAGTCACATAGTACCAAATCTCATTCATCTTTTTCGAGACATATAAGGACACACAATAATAATTTTATTTGACAGAAATTGTGTAAATGTCTTCAATTGATTTAGGACATTGAAACGGCCATAGAAAGACACTTACAAAAGAGGACTTCCAGAACTATTTCAGGAAATGGCAAGAACAGTGGGATAGATGTATTTGAAGTGAGGGAATTTGTTTGAGAGGGATTCATGGCAATGTGTCTTTTCTTGTCATAATTTCTTAATGTAAACATTCACTATATTTTTAGTTCATACGTGTATCTTCTCTATTGTATAAATGTGATGTGAGAACAGCCCTCAGAGTATTCAGGGTCCCTGGTGAACAGTAGTATCCTGCAAGGTGCAGTGGACCATGTGCTCACCCCGTGTGTCCTGGAGCACCAAGGGTCCTCAGTCCAGGCCCTGTTCTGACCATCTCCTGGTCCTGGCTCCTGAGACAGAGAACCCAGTGTACCCCGCCTCCCTCACCCTCAGAGCGCTTGGGATAGGAGGCAAATGAGTGAAAAGTATGAAAGGCAGAAGAAAGGGAGTGAGTATAAGGCTGGGAGAATATGGTGGAGAGGTGGGAAGGATTCTCATTTTTTTTCTTCTTTCAGTTTTTTGTTACAGAAAATTTTAATACACCCACAACTCCACGCACACATGTCATCACTAGACTAAGTGGAGAAATAAAAACAATACTTTTTTTTTTCCTTTCACGTACAGAATTGATGAGGCTAACATAATAATCCTCCAGTGAGCTCATCACCTGAATTAATAGGCTTCTACCCCAGGCCACCTTGTTTCACGAATATTCCTCCTCCTTGCTCCCCCTGACACTGCATTTTTCCTTCTACTGTGGGACCCCAGATCAGGTAATGGTATCTATAAATATTTCAGGATGATGACTCTCTAAAAGGCTCTTTGTAAAAATTGTCACAATATCATTAACATACCTTTAAAAACATCAATAATCTCATAGTATCATAAGACTTCCAGTCTGCATTCTCTTTCCCAGCTGTGGAGGCATTTTCAATAAATCTGAAAAACAAGTCAAACATTGCATGTTCACTGGGAAGGAAGAGACAAAAGAACCAAAAGTGATCCTTTGCTACAGGAAGGAGAAATCAACCATGAGGAGATATTTTCTCCAAATAAGGACAAAAGGGCCTGGCTTTTCTGAGCCCCCATCCAGCCTCACCAGGTGGGGCCTGCCACCTGCCAAGCTTGCCCCCTTGTGGCAGGTAGACATTGCTAATGGCTCGTTCAATTCTTTGAGAATATTGGCTTTGTAGCATGAAAAGGTCTTGCTACCGTGTTGGGGGTAGTTCAAAACTTGGCCACACAACAAAAATGTGTGTAACATGAGTTGTTTCAAGTGTTGATTGAAAACGTAATTTAAAAGTCAGAATATTAAATAAACATCTCTGCCCTTTCTTCCAGCAGGCCGCCCAGAGAACAGCTCTCCGCACGCTATCTGACAGGTACATTTTGTCATTTTTATGAACTATAAATTGCTTTATGAAACATTGAGCCCTATTTATTGTGGCATATAATTCATAATCGGATTTTGTCCCTAAAGTGTCTGTGAACTGGGATGTTAAACATTTTGCATGCTTGGGTTTGTCATGCATGTGTGGAGTTTATTACTGCAAAACTCTCCTTGTTGTATTTCACATAAAGTACGCAGAATCCCTCATTGGGCAATGAAACAAGAAACTTGAGGGGAAAGGCCTGAATGGTGCAGTAAATTCTGAACTTTGGAATTGTCTGAACTCTAGGCTCATTTTTCAGCAATAAGTACTTCATTTATTTTGAGATGCTTTCTTCTCTCTTCTCCTATCATTTCACCAGCAGCAATCTGTCTTCTGATAGGATTCTCTCTTCAAAGATTTTATTCCTATAATGCAGAAACTCCTGCTGCTGGCCTCCTAACTTCTTACTCCCTGCTTTTTTGGCCTATTTCTCCTGACCTGTGTTAGTGAATGAGACATGCAAGCCTAACCAAAACTGTAACTCACACTCTGTTTTGCCTAGAAGGCTGCAGAAAGTGTGTGTGTTGGAGATGTATCAGGAGGCAAAGATGAAGCCCCTTGGAGCCCCCCAGGGAAGTGCTGGCAGGGTGAGGCCACATCCCTCAGCTAGAAGCAGGCATCTCCGCGTCATCTAGTCTTTACCCCTTCCTTCCTGGTTCCTCTCCTGTGCAGTGTGAGCAGTCCCTGGCTGTGTAAACCAGTTCAGTTCAGCGCTTTTCCAGGGTAAAACCTATCACTTAGGCGAACTATCTGGTGTTCCTGGGTGCAAGGCATTTCCTGTACAGTGCCGGGCTGAACCTGAGCATGTTTGTTTCTACTAAAAAGCCTCCCCGTGACAACTGCACAAGCCTGCACGTGCCACACGGTGGGCACGTGATCCAGAATTGCATCTGGGATTTTCAGAAAAGCTGGTAACTGTGCTGCTTCCAAGTCTCTTGGTAGAAGGGAGAGGGGCTCTGGATCAAAACTCATTTAAAATGTGACACCGTAATTCTTTTCCTAGACACATCTCTTTTTTTTCCTTTTGACTGCTCCTCTCCAGTAAGTCCTTCAAGAAACTGCACTGAGAAGCAAGAGAAAGCTATTTATAACACTTTGTCGTGGCTGACAAATGCAAGGTTTCTTTCCAGAGCACTGGAAATGTTATAAAATTAGATGATGGTGAAGTTTTCACCTTTTAGTATATTAAGGGAACCGTTGCTATACAAAAACTACTGAACTGCATCTTCTAGTGGGATGAATATCATAGTCTATAAATTGTACTTTAATAAACCTGCATGTACACATTCACGATGTCATCGCGACTTTGGATGGTGAACCAAAACCTATTTTAGGAAAATATGGACTGTCTTTAAAGAGGTATGTCCCTTTAAAGAGACTTACAAAAATACTTCATTAGAAAGTACGACTGATGTTTTCAAAGAATTCTTCCCAAATGATACCCGACTTGGTGCCGGGGAAAAAATGGTATGATTTCAATAATGAGCACTGCTGTTCCCTTGACTCTTCCAGTGTTGTCACCAAAATCCCTTGTTAAGCCCACTTCCTGTCTAGAAACAGGATTTACTAATTGGTATGACTTTGCTTACAAATTTCTCTGTGCTTCAATATAACAGGTTGTGGTCCCTTTTTCCTCCCAACAGTGTTTTTGCTCAAAATTGGGGCAATTTGGCTCATTTCAAACAAATAGTTTTGTCCACCATACTGGTTGTGGGACACTACCTTCCCGGCACTTTTCTCCTCTGCTTCCCACAAATAAAGGACCACAGAAATAATTCCCATAAGAGTTAGAATTTTTTTAATCATTTGGAAATAACAATTCAAAATAAGAACCTTAAAAGCACCAACTAGATTCATCAGATTCATGTTTTAGTTCTTTGAAGTAAACCCACATCTTCTAGAAAAATGAGCCATGTGGCAGGGGTCCAACCCCTGGGTGACTGGCCTGATGTTCTGTCTGTCACAGGAACTGCAGGGTAGGAGTGGAATCAAGTAGAACTCCCCTTGGGCGAGGGCCTTCCTGAGGCAGGGCTCTGGCCCGCGTATTAATCTTTCCTACATTCATTCACACAAACTATCCTGGTTCCAGAAACTATTGTTAGTTCAGGCTATTATCACCTATTTCTATAAAATACTGTAATGATTAAGCAGCACTTTCATTTTTGTTGTAGAAAAAGAGAAAAAGGGCATTTTTCAGACCTCAAAGTGTGCCTCATGAGTTCTGTGGCCCTGGGCCTGAGCAGTAAAGACTCCACTGGCTGGAGCTGTGCTGGGTGCTCCTTGCCCCCTTCCGCGCCTCGTGGTCCTGCACTTTGGCTCCCAATGTCCCAGCCCTTTTCCACTTTGATTTCTCTTAAACACCCACAAATGAATGCAATTGCAGGTGTACACCTTGAAGACAGTACGGTTGTGTCGGCTCTGCTGGGGGCTGAGCGTGAGCGTCCCTTCCAGGACAGCACTTTTGCCATAAGGAATCCTGCCTTTGAGCCTGGAGACCTGACCAGAGAGACGGCCAACAGTGAAAGGAAAGGGATGAGTTTCCATCCTGTTCAGGAAGTGCAGGAAGGACTCATCCCTGGGGTGCTGGAGGACAGAGAGTGTCCCAGTGTATCTGAAAGTCATTCTTCTCTATCAGTCTTTTCATTTCCCTGAAGTTTCCTGGTTGATTTTCTAAAACTTTTAGCACAAATCCAATATCTGGTACTTCAGATTGTATTTTTTTATTAAATTTATCTTTAACTTATACAGAAAAATATAAAAGTGTACATATTTATGTGATCTGCCCATGTGCCTAAAGACTGTGTGATGTGTAAACCAGGTTAAACATATGTTTCTTTGTTTGTCACTTATATTAAAGCCATTCAGAATCCTTCATTTGGGCTTTTGAGAATGTAGTACCCGTAGGCACCCTACCGCGCAGTAGGGCATGGAACCTCTTACTCTTATCTAACTGCACCTAGTACTCATCGATCAACCAGGCTATGCTTTAGAGTTCAAGAAGCCTTGCAGTCAATACACAATCTTGAAAAACTAAAACTACAGTATTTCCTCCCCCTTATTTTGAAAGCCTTCTATGATCACTACCAAAGGAAACTTTTGACCCTACTTGGTTGGAATAGCGAACACATACTGCAGGTCGAAATGGGACCACAGCAGTGAGACCCAGGGGGATTTGAACTGCCTTCAGCCAAGCACTGTTTATCTGTCTGTTTGGAGCCAGTGAGTCCACTGGCCAAGCAGAGGCCTACTGATAGCCCCAGATAATGAAAATGGCAGGTGGCCAGCGCAGGGAGAGGTAACAGAATTCTTGATGACATGGATGTGCTAATGACAAGAGGCCTCAGTTTGCAAGGGGACATTATCCTTCTCATTCTCTCCTTACAACCTCCATCTTACATTTTCCTTCTCTAGAGTCATTGTATTCGGTGTGGGTAGGGAAGAGGGGGAGAAAGACGATGGTAACAAGCTGTGGGGCTCATTTATAAAGGTGTGTCTTTGGACTCTGCACTGGGAAAGCCACAGCCTTGCCAGTAATGTGGAAAATATGCAAAGCGCCCTTAGGAAGAAAGGATGGATATGCATGCAGCATGCCAAGTGCCTGGAATATGATTAACTCCCCTGCCTAAGTAGTAAATAGCAGATAACTCTGATCAGAAAAGGGACTCGTGTGATTTATCAAGCTGAGCAACTGTGCATTTGCAGAGAAGCTGGAGGTCAATCTTGAAATCTAGGGCCAGAGGAGCACGAGGAAATTGCCAGAACTAAGAAGTTAATCATACCCTGGGACTGCTTCCATCTGTCTCAGGGCGACAGAGCCGCTGCACAGCGAGCAGGCATGCTTTATAGCAGCAGATCAGGAATTAATATTTTCTGCAAAACCTCAAGCATCATTTGTAGTAACTTGGGTTTTATAAAAATGGAGCATAATTTCATATGAATAAATCACATTCAGCTAGAAATATGAGACGCTGGAAAAAAAATTGTGCCTGACTCTTAAAAAAAAGAAGAGCGAGCAAGAAAGACAACATGAACACAGTTGTTAAGCGGTGGCACTTGGAGGGCAAGAATGGCCGTGCGGTTAAATTGTGCATATAATCATCTTCTGAAATGTCAGCTTGCAACCCCAACGATGGCTGCATTTTTATAGCCTCAGCGATGCGACAGCAGACTGTAACCTGTCTGCCCATCTGGTAATAGCTCAGATCCAAGAGCCATTTATACTGAAGTCCAAACAACTGCCACGGTTGTATTCATTTATTCCACAGACATTTACTGAGCGCATCCAGTGTGCTCTGTGGGGTGCTGTGCTAGGGCTGGGGTACCAGAGAGGAGAAGCACCTGGCCTTCTGGTGTCACTGGCCCGAGGGATGTTGGCTTTACAAGGAGAGAGTCCTCTTTAGGTTCTTGTATTTCTGCTTTCTCTTTTGCCCTTTTTGAAAATAAACCTCATGCACCAAATCTTGTTTGCCCTTAGAAAGAGTATTGTGAAATAAAGTACACGAGACATGATCTAAAATTGAGAGTCTCACCTCCGTGGAGTTGGGAGAGTGCAAAGTGGTCTGTGCCCAGAAGCAGCGCTGGAAGTGGGCCCGCAACAACACAGGAGGGCAGGGGTGCCAGCTGCCTGGCACAGTGGAGGCTTTGCATTTATTCTCAGTCATCCTGACCTATGATGGACCAAAGCCAGCAAAGTGATGGTGTTGGGGCACAATTTTACCCAGCCTTAATGTGAGAGCAGAAAGCCCAGTTACCGTTTGCTACTAGTAGCTGGCCACCGCTTGCTTCAGTAGGGATCTAAAACAGAGGTGGCAGCACTTATAAGAAACCCTGCAATTCCCAGCTTTGGCAATGTCAAGGTAGTGAGCGCATGCTGACCCTACCCATGAGCCCCACATTCTCCAGGGTGCCAAAGGAAGAACGCCCTACAGCCAAGCCTTGTGAACAACACG